TGTGTGTGGGAAGGGCTCTCTGTGTGGGAGGGGCTCTGTGTGTGAGCGGGGCTGTGTGTGGGAAGGGCTCTGTGTGTGGGAGGGGCTCTGTGTGGGAAGGGCTCTGTGTGTGGGAGGGGCTCTGTGTGTGGGAAGGGCTCTCTGTGTGGGAGGGGCTCTCTGTGTGGGAGGGGCTCTCTGTGTGGGAGGGGCTCTGTCACTTTCAGGGAACCCAGCTGCCCATCCAGTTTCCTTCTCTAGGGCTGCCTTTCGTTCTCAGGGACCCCAGGGACCCCTGAACAATGCTTTCATGCTGAGCCCGGGGGTGGCTGACAGCCTCTACCCTTTGCCCCATGCCACCCCCCTCCCACTGTCCCACGTGATCGGACGTACCCACCAGTGCGCGGAGCCCCTCCATGCCCTGGTTCTCACGTAGCAGTCGGTCACAGCCAGCCTGGGGAGGGGAGAGGAGAGGCGGATCCTGAGGAGTGGCCCAGCCTTAGCCAGCAACCCCTCACTCCCCCACCCGCCCTAAGGACAGGCCCTCACTTTGACAGGGTTGGCTGGAAGGGGACCCAAGAAGTCGGTGGGGTACGGGTAGTCCATCATGGCCAGCACAGTGAAGGCATTCCGTGCAAACCCGAACAGCTGGGTCAGGTCCTGGCCCGAGAGCATCTGGCATGTCCCGAACACCTTACTAACAGTGTTGTAGTCTGCAGGGATGGAGCAAGGAGAAGGACCCCAGAGGCTGCTGACAGTGAGTTGGAGGGCATGGAGCTGGGGAGCACCGACGTAGGGGTGGGGCAGTGGCAGGAGATAGGGGCAGGCTCACCTTTCTGAAGGAATAAGTCCTTGATCTGCCGAAATGCATCCCGGACGCCCTGAGCACACTTGGGACTCTGGCCCTCAAAGTCCTAGAGATTGGAACCTGTTGGTGCCTGGCTGCCCCCAGAATCCCCGCACGCAGATCCTCCCCAGCCCTGGGATTCTCTGAGGTCCCACTCACTGCGGTGACATCTCGGAAGAACTGGTAGGTGTCCCCAAGGCCTGCGACAGCTACAATGGGCGCACTGGCTGCCAGGGCCCCCGCCACAAGGTGGGGGTACTTCATCCGCATGTAAGCGCTCAGCATACCCCCATAACTGGGCAGAGAGGGCACAGGATTATGGCGGCTGGCCCACCCACCACAACACTTCCCCACACGGTCCTAGAGGTTCTGGTAGTGGTCCTGCCACCCTCGCCCTACTTTCTCCCCGTCCTCAGAGGCCCTTCTCATGAAGGACTCACGGCTCCCTGAGGCTCACAGAACCCCTGGCGTCCACCCCCCAGGTCACTCAGCCAGAGGACAGCTGCAATTGAGCCCCACTAGTGTGGCAGGGACATAGGGCTAGTGGGTGCTCGAGGGAAGGGTGGAGAGAGCTTCCTGGAAGAGCTGAATAAAGGCAGACATGGTGGGCAGAGAGATTCCCAAAACCCAGGGGGAGCGCCCTGCATAGACCCTGCCATGTACAGAGGCTCGGCGGGGCAGAAGCTGGGGATGGAGGGACATCTGGGACGCCTGGGAGGATGAGTCCAAAGTGAATCCGTTTGGACAGGGGGCTCCGCATGGGGAGCTGGGTGCCCACCCCTGGGTCCAGAACGGGGATCCCCGTCCGTGTGGCCCACCTGCCACCGAAGGCGATGGTCGGGGCGTCCTGGACCCCGAGGCTGACCCGCAGCGCCTGAAGCAGCACCGCGAAGTCGGCCAAGGCCTGCTCTACGGTCAGTAGCTCTGTGTTTCCGCGCTGCGTGGACAACGCACCGAACGGTAGGGATTTCCCGTAGTATCGCTGTGGACGGCAGGAATGGGCGCTGACCCACGGCCCACCGGCCCGGGCCTCCTCCCGCGGACACCCGCAGCCTGATACCCACGTGCTCCGCGAAGACCACCAGGGCCGCCTCCTGGGCCGCCAGCTCCAGGATGAAGCCCGAGTTGTTGGCGAAGGACCACACGTCCCCCTCATTCCCCGTGTAGAAGAATATGGGCCCCTCGCCCCTCTTCCAGAACTTCTCTGCGGGGTGGAGGCAGGCAGAGGTCGGCCCACGGGGTCTCCTCAGGGTCGTCCAGTCCCTGGTCCGTGGACTCTCCTAGCATCTGCGCGGGGCTGACCTCACCTGACACCAGGAACCGCTGGCGGAAGGTCTTGTTGCCAAACCTCTCGAAATTGAAGTGGTCCAGCACCTGCTCGAAGTAGTCCTCCCGGAAGCCAGGCTCTGGGACCCAGGGGGCTGCTGAAGGGTCGGGGGAACACCCGGGTTGGGGGGCTCCGCGAGGCGGAGCGGAGGAAGGCTCGTCCCTCCTCCGTCCCACCCTCCCCCGCCCTCACACACACACACACACACACACACACACACACACACACCCCGGAGCGCTCCCCCTCCTCCCCTCCTCCCGCGCTCACCCCCAGCCCAGGGCCCCCGCAGGTCCAGCGCCAGCTGCAGCGCCAGGGTCCCGGACAGGACCTTCCAGGCCGCCAGGGGACACAGTCTCGGCATGTCTGAGTGCTGTGCCCGCGGACGCGAGTCACGGGGTGGATCACGTGGCGGGTGGGGTCCACGTGACGCCCGAGTTGGGCCTTCCGTTCTGCTCCGCGGCCTCCAGGGCTCCGGGAGGATCCGCGGCGAGCAGGTGCTCGGGTCCCCATGGAGACGGCAGGGCGATCGCTCCAGCGAGGGATCGTCAGAGTATCAGACCTCACGCCTGCCCTCCCTCTCTCTTTGAGTCCCTTGGAGCTGACAGCAGGCCGGGGATGCGTCCCCAACACGCACACAACCGACAAGCGCGGCCCTGCGCGCCCCCACCCCGCTCTGCCAGCCTTAGCAACTCCGTGAACGGGCCCAAGGAGCAGGACCACTTTCAATGGCGGTCCGGGAGGGACCCCTGGGCTGACCCAAGAGAGAAAGGGAGGGAGCCTCAGAAGAAGCATGGCGGCAGCAGGTAAAACCTCTAAGCCCAGTGAGAGTGTAGTTTTGCCTGCAGGACGGTTGGGACAGGGCAGGGAAGTGGCTGTTGGGTTAGAGACGGGAGTCTCCACCCTACTCCTGAAGACAGAGCTTCCCAGGACCACCCTTAGGACCACCCCTCAAGGCCAGAGAGAAGAAAGGAGTCCCTAAGGCTGAGTAGAAGGGGCTGTGGGGTGGGGGCCATGCTGGCTCCAAGGTGCCCCCTCCAATGAGATCCCAAGGTCCTGGGCGGAGCATTCACCTTCAGGCCAGTGGGCTTCTGTGCAGCCATCCCCATCCCAGGAAGGGCCCACGCGGGAATATAGGATGGGACCCATTTGCCTCACCCTAATTCCACCAGGTGCCTGTGCATCGGGAACAGGGGCAGTGAGGGACCAGTTGCACCCTGGGCATGGGGATGTGGGAACTTGGGAAGGGGCTGGTCCCTTTGTGGGTTTCCAGCAGTAAAAAATCGATTCTGAGGCCTGGCCTGCAGAGCCAGCCCAGTCATTGGGGGGAGGGGGGCCTCAGAGGGCCCAGGGACAGCATAGGTACCCCTGAGCACCACACCAGCATAGGTTCAGTACCCCAAGACAGGAAGAAAGTAAGGGGGCTTGGTGAAGGGCCCAGACCCCCAGAGGCAGGCGCAACCATGCGTGGGAGCCCTTGTGCACTTAGAGCTGGCCCCTCGTGCCTGGAGCTGCAGTGGAACATAGTCACATCCAGCCAAGGTCCTGCTGGAGAAGTGGACAGTGAGTCAGGCCAAGAGCAGGGAGGGAGATGTGGTTACTCAGCCTAGCCTTCAGAGGAAAGGGGGCATCCTGTCCCCACTCCCAAGCCTGTCCCCAACCAGAGTGAGCCCCAAACTCTGCCCGGGCCAGGCTGGAATTCTGAGCTCACACTGCAACCAGAAAACCCAAGGACCAAGCAGGCAGAGCTGAGCTGGGAGGACTGGTCACTTGGGAGGGCCCTCATGTTGTCTCAAGAACAGCATGTTGACAATTCCTAGTCTTGTCACACTACACTGTCATGGCCGCCATCAGCACCCAAACTCAACACCATTGCCTTCAATGTTGCCACCAGTCACCATCCCTGTCACCGTCATCGTCCCTGTCACCAAGCCACCGTCACCACCACCACATCACCATCACCGTCCCTGTCACCATGCCACCTTCACGCCACATCACCGTCACCGTCATTGTCACTGTCATCATGCCACCGTCACCACCACCACATCACCATCACCGTCCCTGTCACCATGCCACCTTCACGCCACATCACCGTCACCGTCATTGTCACTGTCATCATGCCACCGTCACCACCACCACATGACCATCACTCTCACCATCCTGTGCAGCCCACTGGATACAGACCTGCCCCGGTGGAAGGACTGTCCACAGAGTCAGGAGACAGGGCAGAACTTCCAGTAGTCTGCCTCCATCGAAAGAGTGTGGACAAGACACACAGGGACCTGCCCAGATCACCCTCCCCCTGGGTGGCCAAATGCCCCCTGGCCGCGCCTGCACCGGCTCCTCCTCCCCTCCAGTGACCGAACACCAGCTCCTCAGCAACCCTTCGTCCACAGACTGCGTCCCACGGAGCATCAACAACCAGGCCCATCCAGTTCCTTCCAGTCACTCTAGAACCACTCCGCATTGCGGGAGCCCCGGATGCCAGTGATCTTGAGGACCAAGTGAGCTAGTAGCCACCTCAGCCCTTAAATGCAGCAGAACCTGGATCTCCACCCAATAGATCACAGCTTGTCAGAGGAGTGACATTTGTTCTCGTGTCCCATGCCACGGAGGACTGTCAGTCCCTCATTGTTGGCAGGTGCCAGGGTTGCTAAAATAGACAGTTTATGTGAGGGCAGTGGTTGGAGCAACACTTCAGTCACGTGGGTAACAGAGCAAAGGCACCTTCAATACTGGGGGCTGGACCCCACAGCCAGCAGTTCAGCCAGGGAGGTGGTCTGCATACACGCCTCTTGGGCTGCAGGGGGGTTAGTCAGGTGTTGTGTAACACACACAGTCAGCTAAACCGCTCCTGAGAGTGGAGACCTGGACTCAGAGCAAGAGAAGGGGGAGTCACTGGAAGCCCACTAGCTGCTTTGGGATGCTTGGAATCAGAACAAGGGAGTCAGTCCATGCTCTTGTATTGTCCAAGAAGCCGGACAGACACACATGGTCCAAGTACAAGGTTCATTCACAGGCCACAAGGCAAGGCGGTGGCCTGTGCTTCACTGCCCCCAACCACAGTGACCCTGCCCAGTCCCTTTTAGAACCCAAAGCTGCTTACAAAACCATCTTCCGAGGTGACCTGGAACCTGGCTGAGAGTCGGAATGAGTGGTGGCAGCCTGGGCATACTGTGTCCAAGTGGGTCTTGTTGAACTCTTTTGGCCCTGGCTCCTGCCACATCTGTGGTTCTGACCTCTTCGGTTTGCATAGTGATTCTGTGCAGCGTTTTCAGAACTTTGTCTTTGGAAAAACACTTTGCCGACTTCCTTTTGCCCTCCGGTTCTTTGTTTCCTTACGTTCTGCCCCAGTGTTGTCTCCTCCTCCCTCGTCTCTGAGTGTGTTTGTGGTAGGCTGGATGATGCGTCCACACCCTAATCCCTGAGGCCTGTGGACTTTGCAGATGTGGTTAAGGATTCGGAAATGGAAAGTGTGTGTGTGGTGAAGAGTCAACTTGGCCCCAAGAAAAGTCGGCCTCTTCCCTAAGCTTCTGGGAGGTAATCTCTAAAGTCTTGGTTTGCCGGCGTGATGCAGAGTAAGGACTTTCACCGGCACCAACAGTGGCCAGACAGAAAGGCCACCCATGTGACTTGTTGTCGTGAGGTGCCATCCAGTCCATTCTGACTTATAACGACCTTGTCTATACACAGCAAAATCGTCACAATGCTTGAGCCCATTGTTACTGCCATTTGTCAATCCATCTTGTGGGGGCGCGGGTCTTCCTCCTTTTCACTGGGCCTCCACTTTTACAAGCATGATGTCCTTCTCCAGGGACTGGTCCTCCTGACAACAAAGTACAAGAGACAGAGTCTCACCATCTTCAGTTAGAAGGCGCATGCTGGCTGTATTTCTTCCAGAACAGATGTTCTGGCAGCCCACGGTACTTTCAGGATTCTCCGCCAGCACCGTCATTCAAATGCGATTCTTCCATGGTCTTGTTTATTCCTTGTCAAACTTTCACATGTATATGAGGCGATTGAAAACACCATGGCTTGGGTCAGGTGCACCTTAATCCTCAAAGTGACATCTTTGCTCTTTAAACACTTTAAAGATACCTTTTGCAGCAGATTTGCCTAAGAGAACACGTCGTTGGATTTCTGGACTGCCACCTCTGTGAAATTGATGTGGATCCAAAATGAGATCTTAAACAACTTCAATCTTTTTTCCATTTATCATGTTATTTCTGGGTCCAGTTGTAAGAATTTCCATTTTCTTTACATTGAAGTGCAACCCGTACTGAAGGCTGTGGTCTTTGATCTTCATTGGTAAGTATTTCAAGTCCTCTTTGGGGACAGTGCAAGCATAGCCCGGAGCGTGAGCCATGAGGATAATCGATCCATCCTGCCTACTCAACGGAGTCCTGCCGTGGACTGAAGTGTGTCCCTCCCAAAATGTATGTCAGCTTCATCTGGACTTGATTCTCAGTGGCTTGCAGTTATGTAATGATGTAATGTGGCAGTTATGTGATGATCCCCATCATGTGATCTGAGTGATAACCAATCAGAGGGCTGTAATCCCCTTCAACCCATCATAGCCCTGATCTGATGTAAGGGAGTTTCCTGAGAGTCGGGCCTGTAACACGTTTCCTCTTAGAAGAAACCAAAGGAGAGGCAAAAGCAGCTACCACGGAGAAAGCAGAGCCGGGAGTGGAGTGTGGAGCCGGTGACGCCCCTGGGCCCAGGGGGAGCTTGGTGCTTCACCTGAGCTCTGGTGTTTGCTCCCGTTGGTTTATTTTCATCTGTGTCCTTTCCCTGTAAATGAATCGCAGTCAGTGGTTCACGCTCACTAGCCACTCCTCGGAAACCCTGTACAGGGTCGTTATGAGTCGGAACCAACTCAACAGAACTGAACACATCACACATTAACCACAAGAGTGGCAGTGGAAAGATGAGGCGTTCTCCTCCCGTAAAGATGTACAGCCTTGGAAACCCTGCCCAGGACTGCTGTGAGTCAGAATGCACTCG